TCGGTGTCCTTTTTTTTAAAATAATATAATTTCATTTTTTATAAACATTAAATGGCGAATTAAATGTACACTTTTTTTTTTTTTTAAATGTATATTCACCAGAATAGAATTTTCTGAAAAATCTTGACGGTCATTTATTAAAATAAATAGGTAAGAAATGTAGGTACAAAATATACAAAAACATGGGGGCTTCATCAGTCTCAGTCCAGCAATACACATGATATCCTCGTTCTGATAAAAAAAATATGGATATATATATATATATATATACGTTTAATATATATATATATATATATATATATATATATATATATATATATATATAAAGAGGTTTAAAGGTAGGAAGGGCGAATAGTAATTTCGAGGTAGGAGGATTATTCCCGGATGACCTCTGACTTTGATTTCAAATTTGAAAAAATCGGCCTAGTAGTCTTGGAGTAAATGCGCCGATAGCGGATGGATAACATATTTTTCATTCGATTATCGAGGTCTATAAATGCTGAAACGTAAAACCTCAAATTTTGAGGGAGGTTAAATTTTTTGGATGATTGTAATGGTACATTATACAAAATAATAAACCAAAACATGTACTAACAAAAGCTGAATGTTTTCACAGTCTAATTGACCAGTTATTTTAAAACGTATTTACAAAATATCAATCAACAAAAGTAGGACAGCCACAAATATACTAGCGTACATCCAGGTAGGAACAACCAGATTGTGTAATGAGTTGTAATGTATAAGAGATGACAGTGTTCCCTCCAGGACGTAACAAATAAGCTATCATGGACCAAACTGTGGTTTGGACCGAATTCTAACTAGAATTATACTCTATCAAAGGCTGAAAAGAATCAACGAAATAGTGGATCAAGTAGAAAGAAGTTTATATAAAGCTTTATATATATATAAAGAAGTAGTATATATACATTGATTCAGGAAAAACAAAACGTCGAGAACTGCTTCACAGAAAAAGCCGTTGGGGAAAAATAAATATAAATTCCTGTTAAGCCAAAACTGACCAAGATAGTCTGTAGCAGATCTGGCCAAAAATGTATTTTAAAATACCAAGTATTTTGTGTTTCTGAAATACAATTTTAATAAATATTAAATATCGAAATTGTTTATAGAAAAAGTATTTTATATTTGAAATTTAAATACTTATTAAATTAAATAATTAAGTGGATTTATTTAAACGCAAGTATTAATTAAAAATATAGATAATTAAAATTGTATTTTAGAAAAAAAAGTGCTTTGTATTTTCAATAATGTATTTTAAAAATACTTATAACCCATATCTGTTCTGGACAAATAAAAAGCCTGTTGGAAAAAGACAAATAAAATAATTTCTCTAAAAAAGACGGCAAACCATTGAAGACAACTGGTCAGTTGGAAATATATGTGAACCTTATGCCAAGATTAAGAAAAAGCTGTATGAATATCAAGTAAGAACTACACGAATTGAGAAACGTAAACTGACGACATCAAAAGATAAGCACCTGTTAAGAACATTTCAAACAGACTCTTGATCAAGGTAATTCCGTGGAAGCAGAAGACATGGACCACGCAGGGACTATCGATTCGCTAGAGGTATATTATAAATATGGAAATAGCTTCTAGCATGAAAAAAATAAAGTAAAAAAAATAACCTAGGGGGTTGAATAACAAAGCTGTATAAAGATGAGGAAGCACGCCTATGATACATACTATTACAATTAACAAAGAAAATTTGAGAGGAGGAAAAGATATCAGAGACTTGAAAGCTTGGCGAAAAACTATAGATAATATTATACATTTAATAAATAATAAAAACTTAATAACAATGACACATTACCAGGCCTGGCATTAATTGAATAACCACATAGTTTCTGTTCACAAACGATAATCTTATATACAATAAAGGACATGGAATCGTTGACACTTCTAAGCACATGGTCTGTAAACTGTACACACTGAGCAACTATCGTAGCGAAGGGATCAGCAATGATTATCCCAGTTCCCGCGCAGCGAATCTAGCGAGATAATAGAACAGTGTCACCATTATTAACTAGTGTTGCTAGCTACAAACTTCTGAACCCTCTCCAGGAAATTTTTCGAAAATAAATAATTACTTAACGAAACCTCCGAAAAATTATCATTATTTTACCAGTGAAATAATAATAATTATTAATTCATATTCTTTAAATAATTACTTTACTTTACTTATGCTAACAAAAATTAAAGCCCTGACAGGAGAGCCAGGGCTCAAAAATCGACCTGATCGCAGGCGAAGGTTTGATTGTAAATTACGAAAGTGTATGTTATTCTGAGTAAAAAGAACTTTGTCTACCGTTCCAGGGCCGCTACTTTAAAATATGGCGGCAGATTTAAAGAATATTAAGCCAATTATTTGACGATCGAAACGAGAAATCCATTGCGAATAATGTGGGAACAAGTTTTTATTTCTTTAACTTATATATATATATATGTTTTTAAAAATGTAAAAAACAAAATTGTTATGTTTAACAAAATTGTCATCAAGAGAAACCTTTTTACAGCCAAAAAAGTAAGATTTTTTCGATACTTTTTTTTTCACCTATAATTTGTAAACGATGCATCAAAGCAAAAAATGTAATCGTCAATAGGTTAAAAAACAGTAAATTGTGCGTCGAACGAGTACATAAAGTTAGTAATTTCGTTACGTCGTAAGTTATAAAAACACGGCCAACCAACGTCGATGTTTACCAACTTTGTCAAAATCTGGGACAAATTAATATAAATGGCCCTGTAACTTGATAATGAGTTCCATAAGGGAAAAACCCATAGAATCAAAGTTGTAGAGCATCAAATTTTGCGTCCACTGAGTACTGGCATTTTTATTGTAGACCAATTATATATCTCGAATTGATATTCGATATTACTTTTTGAAATTTAGCATCTTTCGACACATCGTTTATCAAAATACTTCGCTACTGAGAGGTTGAAAAGAGCCTTATACTGCATGTAACAGACTCTAAACAAAAATAAGTCAGTTGAATAGAGACCCATACTGTTGAAATATTGAAAATCACGTTTATCTTCATTTTCAATTTCTAGCCTTCGGGAGATTACCGATTTTGTTCGGTGTAATTGACGCACATTAAATTAGTTGGTACTCATAAGACGCAAAATTTGATGCTCTACAACTTTAATTCTATGGATTTTTCATCTTAAGTAACTCATTTCCAAGTTGCAGGACCATTTATAGTAATTTGTCTCAGTTTTTGATAAATTTCCTAAAAATCAGCGTTGGTTGACCATTGTTTTATACTTTACCACGTAACCAAATTATAAAGTCTATGTACTTGTTCTACGCACAATGTAACATTCTTTAATTTATTTAAGAGTACATTTTTCGCTTTGATGCATCGCTTAGGAATTATAGATGAAACAACTAAAAAAGTTCAATAAAAGCTAATTTTTTCGGCTGTAAAATGTTTTCTCTCGATGACCCAAGTTATTAATTTTGTTTTTTACATTTTTAAATCCATATATACAAGTTAAAAAAATAAAAACTTTTCCCGCATTTTTCGAAATGGATTTCCCTTTTCGATCCTCAAATTACTGGCCTAATATTCTTTAAATCAGCCGTCATTTTTGAAAGAAGCGGCTCTGGAACAGCAGACTAAGTTTTTTTTACTCAGAATAACATACACTTTCGTAATTTACAATTAAACCTTCGCCTGCGATCAGGTCAATATTTGGGCCCTGGCTTCAGACAGAGCTATTAGGACTAAATACCAGGGTTAATGTCCTACGGTCTATAGGGTTCATAGGCAAGTTATGTTTTGCTTAAGCGTTAACCCGCTCGGCCACCCGCCCAAGAGAATAAATATTGTTTTAAAATATTTATACTTGATGGTAATACATATAAATCAAGCCTCTACCAAAACATCTATCACATCCTCTCCCACTTCTCTCCAATCAAAATAATTAACTACACCAATGATCTTTATCAAAGAAAATTAAAAAATGAAGTAAAGGCCCCTTAAAAACAACCGCGTCCTATAAACGACTAAAAAAAAAAAGAGTAATAACACAAAAAGCTGCCTCCACCAGGAAACTAGGCTCTGCCATTTCTGCCTCGATAGAGGAGTATTTGCTGTACACCTAGGATGGAATGTCATCCACAGTAATTCACCCCTTTGTTGGTAACATGTTAGGCCGAGGAATAACAACCATATGTAATCTGACCAGAAGAATGCACCCTTCAGAGCTTCTCGACTTAGCGAAAATGGAGGATAAAATTGAGTGGGGTATCTAATGGTATAAAATCGGCAGGATAGTAATTACAACAAAACTAGATTTTAAAAAATCAAAAACTCAATCGAATACACTGTAATATGATACGACACTCTTTTTTTGTTTATATAAATGTTAATGATGTAGAGATGGTTGACAATGATATAATATGAAAAGTAGTTGGTCAGGGGGGTGCGGTCAAATAAATACTAAATTTAAAAAAAAATGGTATTTATTGGATCGCACTCCCTCGACCAACTCCTCATAAATGTTAATGCATTATTTTTCAGACCAGTACATTTCTAGTTAATAATTTGGTCCCTATATATATTTGTTTTCAGTACATACAATTTTAAACCATCAAATAGTAATTTCTAACACAATGCCATGTCCCTTCAACCATAGGCATTAGCACTTTGAGTTCATTAAATTCAAAAAATTTGCTGGCATGAATATAGAAAATGAAATAAAAAGAACCTACCCTGAGCTCGAAGCAGCAGAGGAAAATCTTAACTATGAGAAATCCCCATTGCCAACCCGTCTTGAAAACAATTACCCCATTTTCCAGAGTAATGACAGGACTGACTCAGCAACAGAAAATTGGCTAGCCACGGTCAAACTACAACCGGAACTGCATAAAAAAAATGTGATAAACGTAATGTAGTTTTCTTCTTTCTTTTTTTCTAATTACCATCACTTCTATATTTCGAATTCTCCTTAATGGAGTTATGGTCACGGAAATCGTTTATTGTCTTCTGACACCGGCAATCTTGTACAATAATCGGAGTAAAACAGAGATAGGATCTTATGATTTTTTAATTTCTTTTCTTAACCATTATGCACTCCCGTCCTTCAAGTGCATTATATATAACCTAAGAGACTGGAGGTATCATTGTAGTCGCCAAGATGAACCGACCAGTGATCGTTGTTGCACTTGTACTCGCATGCATATTCAGCTGCAATGGAGTAAGTATTTATCGTGAGGACATTAAAATCCACAACTTGTGATAATACAAAGATATTTAAATCCAGAGCATAATATATATATTTCTTCATTTTCATACTTTAAATCATTTACCAATATCGGTACTTACAAAATGTATAGTGTTCTGATTGAGTTTAACTAGCATATTTCATAAAATTTTACTAAATCCTTTAGAGAAATAATTTAAGACACATTCAATCATATTATGCCTTGAGAAATCCTCGATACTTGAATTGCGAAATTTTTTTTTTCCGAAAACATTATGTCTTTGAAGGAAAATAAGAATTTTTTATTGTCTGTTAGTCATTAAAATGAACTTTTCAGCAGAATGTATACTTTTTTCTAATATCGAGGAATAGAATTATTTTATAGATCATTTATATAGTACCAGGTTCCAGTTTAAATTATTCATCTATATAACCTATCAAAGGGTTTAAAAGATTTTAAAAATAAGAATGAGATTTTAGTAAACTGGCTCAAAACTTTATTTATGAATATATCGATGTTCCTTAACATTATCAAATTTAATAATTTATCAAATGTCTTTTTTCCTTACATTAATGTGTACTTTTCGTTTTTCTTTTATTATTTTTTTTAATTTCTTAAATTTGTATTCCATATTTAAACATTAGTTTTTTTTTACTGCATCGCGCATATTTTGATTAATGTCATACATGATCATAACAATATTATAAAAATAAATCAACACTTATTTCAATAGAACATAATCAACATATGCAATATATGTATTTCAAGAAGTAAAAAGGAAAGCTAACGGGCGTCACTAGCGGATCCAAGATTTAATTTTGGGAGAGGGGGAGGGCTTCAGCCCGAAAGATTATTTTTCATATATATAACTATAATTAATTTGAAAAAAAGAAAGAAAGAAATGAACTACCTATATGAAATGGTGTTTAAGTGATTCTTGAAGTCCTATTAAATATAATTACACGAACAATAATACTTTAAGAGATATTTTGTTTTTAAAACATGGTTAAATTTTACCGTTTTGTGGAGAGAGAGGGACTTCAGCCCGAAAGCTCCCTCCTCCAGTAGATCCGGCTGTGCGGGGGTTAATCAAATAAACTTCCATGGTTGATAGAAAACTGAACATTTTTAGGGATGTGAAAATATAAAGTGCAAACATAAGTATGAGTATAACAAAGAGTTTTGAAAGACGAGAAATATAAGTTTTTTTAAACGTACATAGATGATTAAATTCTCAATAATACTTCTCAAATCCTACAAAAATAGTTTAATAATCTTTAAATATACAGGGTGGGAGGGAAATGTTAGTTAATAAAATTAAGTAGGGACATCACCTAATGATATTTTGGGGGAAGGGAAGGAGCAAAATATAAAATTTCTCAATAATGGTTGGATCAAAACTCAATTTTAAATTTTACCACAACCTTAATTTAAGAAATTAATGTTTTGATTTGGTGAAGAAATATTTTAATTTTCTCAATTCCTTTGAATTTGAACTTTTCACTTACTATTTAAAAATTGATGACAGTTCAGGACAATAATATTCATTTCTATTCAAACCCAACATCGTATCAATAAAATATCCAAATTTCTTCTTGAAAGATATTGGCAATGTTTTCAATTTTAGTAGCTCGTTAAGAAAAATGTTTAATAATGATTTTCTTGGTGGTTGAGCCATTTTCAAATAGGTTCTCAAGTCTCAAATTTCCCAACTTTGTAGGTAACACCCTCCTTCAGTTATCGGTCAATGGGTTGGCAGTTAGTACCACAATATTCTGAAAGAAATTGGTTGAAAACTAATAATCAATTCCTCCACTCTTAAATTAATTCTTCCCCTCCCCACGTATTAAACAATAGACTCTCACCTTTCTAACTATATCCTTATAAAGGTACTGATGGGGGGAGAGGGAAGAACTTGTCTGGCAAGTGGGTCCATTCTTGGTCCTTTATGCCAACTTTATAATGGTAGATAATAAGTACTTAATACGATAAATAAAGTTTATTTTTAAAAACACCTTCAGTGATAAAAATATATGTTAACAGATTAGTCCTGAGTTAAAGACAGCAATTGAAGAATGCAAAGCTGAACACAACGTAGAGTCTGGTAAGTTGAAAATTTATTAATTATTTTATTTTATTTTTTTACATCTGATTCAATATAAATCATTCGTTTTTATAATTCTTGTATTTTTTTATATTTTTTAAAATATATTAATGGATTAAGGACAGCATAATAGGAGCAATAAACATAACACTTCCAACCCAGCAACTCTGGGTATAATACAAAATGCAGTCTATTTTTTTAAATCTTAAGCTTTAAGAGAATTATTTGAATTTACAAAATCATAGTGATGAATTCTAATTAATAAACTGTTCCATGAAGTTAAACTCTATAAAAGTTACCACATTTCAATGACCAGTGATTTAGATTACAAAAGTCATCATTATGTTGGTTGTGAGTGAGATGAGTTAGACAACAGTACTGAAAAGGAGGAGGAGTAATGTACATGTCTGTTGGTTTTTTAGTCAACCTCAGGTGTCTAGCTAGAGGTTGCTATCACGTTTCAACTAATTTGGAATTTCCAAACTACTTCAGATAAAAATATTAACTATCCACTTATTAATAAATAAGTCCACTCCTAACCTATTTTAATCAGAAAAATATCAGAGTTCTTAATTAATTTTTCTTCATAGCTCCATTTTTCTGCAACTTTTCATATTAAAAAAAAATAATAATAACTCAATCAAAATTTTTGATTGAATAATTTATTTAACTGATGCCTTCAGTTCTTCTGACACCCAGATTGAGTAATTTTAATATGGTTGCTTAAAGAATAATTTGAGCGTGATATTGGCACATCACATCTCTGCACAATCATTGGCCTTGTAACAGTACTTCCTCACATTATACTAAACCCAAGACCCTTGATGGGTAGCTAGTGGTACAGGTTAGTCAATACAACCAGTGTAGAACTAGACCAATTGAGGCAGGTTAATATTTCAGGCTCTTCTAATAAAATCATAAAATTTTTAATGAAAACAATAACGTTATCTTATAATTGAAAAATAGGGAGCTGTAAGCAATTTTTTACAGTAAAATTATCATTGACTTAAGAAAGTATTACATAAAAAATAAAATGTGTGGATCCCTTCATTCTACTGGTAGCTGATACCAGTTAAACAAATATATATAAACCTGTACCACTACAACCCATGAAGGGTCTTGGTTTCAGTACTATTTAGGAAAAGCACTGTTTCTTGGTCGACGGTTGTGCAAAGAGGTGATGTGACCAAGATCACATTCAACTGCCAGGTTTTTCTCCTTATTTAATTATTTTAATTAAGGGTACCCGCTTTATAGAGGCTGGTTGTGCATCAGGACGGTCTACCTACCCAAGGTCGAATAACGGCCAATGAAACAGAATAAATCATTTTTCTGTCATGAGCTGGGATTCCTACCACAGTACCCTGCCACTGAGCTACCCCAGTCCCTAAACAAATATATATACACACATATATTTATATTTTTTTCATAGTACAAAATTCTTTTTCAGACCAAATCAAGGAAGCAATTGAAAATAAGAAACTACCAGAAACTGAAAATGGACAGGTAATAAATGTTTGTGTTTAAAACCAATACATTGGAATAATTTCATTAGTAAATATGATTAACTACAGATTTAATATTTATTAAAGTACTACTCCATATTATACATTAAAAATAAAATATATGATTTGTATTTAACTATTTTTTTCAAAAAGAGTTTTCATTAAATTTCCTAGTGATATCAATCTGAACATTGTTCAAAAACTGAATTCCTAAAAAATATTAGTTATAAGTAATTAACAAAAAGCAGCAAAATACAACATCCAAATTTAAAAAATCACTTTGTTTTTTTCTTACAATATTGTTAATCAGTATATCAATTCATACTTCTTATTATATTACTGCCACTAATTTGAATGATTTAATTGAATTTGCCACTATATATTCCATTATATTATAAAATAAAAAATTCTCTAATGAATTTAGACAATCTTCTTGTCTAGAAAAATGTATTTAGACTAAAGTATGACGATGTTAATCAAATAACATGTCTTAATACTGTTGTGCAATTAACTATAGTATTTCCTATTATATAAATAAATACATATATATGAAAAAAATCTAATTATTTCACTATTTTTATAAAATTAAATAATTTTTTACAGTGCTTTATGTCATGCGTAATGGAAAAAATGGGTGTGGTAAGTAACATTTATTTGTTAAATCTCAATATTGTAATAAATTATTAATAATTTAATTTACAAAACTGATGATTAAAAAAATACATAATTCTTTTTTCAGATCAAGGATGGAAAAATTGACATGGATAAGGCTATGGAACATTATGAAAAGAAAGTCAAAGATCCAGAAAACCGACAAAAAGCCAATGAAGTAGCTAAAAGGTGTGCCAATGGTAAGTTGTTTTATCAATATTCTCTGATGTTATTAAATAAGATAACTTTGAAAGGAAGATTTTATTAATAAATTGTAATATGGAGGAAACCTCATCACTGTTAGTGAATTAAATTGAAATATTTATCAAATTGTTTGTTTTACATTATAATGTAATATTTGTATTTAGTGCAAGGTACAGATGCCAAATGCTCCCTTGCTACAGAGCTAGTAAAATGTGTCGTGAAAACTGCAGAAGAGGTAATTATAACATTAATTTTAATTTTAATAACAAATATTGGTCATTTATACAACCTATTATTTTGTTTTACAGCTTCAACTGGAAATGTCAAAGGATGAAGTAGAGTAAACCAGGCCCACTATTCATCTGCATCTCAAAAGATTACCTCAAGTAGATTATGTAAAATACTGATCTGTCCCAATGCATTCTAAATACATTTTTAAAATAAATTGTTGATTATGAATTTAATAAATAGAAAAATGTTACTGAATATCTTTTTTTTTTTTATTCCTTTTATATAATATGATATTCCCTCAACTTCATGTCCGTTTCTTACTTCTTTACCATCTCTCTGTAAAGATCCTTTATTTTATGATCTTACACCTCAAGTTGATAAAATATCTCATTTTAGGACAATTTGATAAATTTGTCATAAAAATAAAACAATGAAATCAGTTTCAATACAAAAATTCGAATCATGAAATCAATTAATTAAATAAAATCAACCCTGGTTCACTTTGTAATTATTTACCACCTCTGTGGAAGAATCCTAATAATATAATGTAATATTGTGCCCCAAATTAGTAAAGCACTTAATTTCATACAACTAAATAAATGCAATACGCACTTCTCACTCAAAATTATGATGAAATGGATTTTTAAGAATTCGAAAATATGGAGTGAAAAGTTTCAAAACAGAGAACTAAGAGGGAAAAATAGGGCAGACCATAGCAAATGTAATTTTATATGAACTACAATTTGTCTAACTCTACTTTCGCTTGCAAGATTTTTAAGAAGAGGAGGAAATACAATTTTTGGAGGGTTGGGATGGCTCATGCACTATCGACCTTGGGTGAGATGGGCATCCCTGTCTCCTCACTTATGTTAATTATAAAATTCTTTCATACTTTATACTTAGCCATTTCTTATTATTACTAATCACAAAATACAGTTAATTACTTCAAATAAATCATATTATTTTATTATTTTTGAGGAATCCATTTTGGAAGTTCCACATTTAAGCTCTTTTACGGGCCCCATTTCCATTACTTTTAGACATATTGAAAATATTTGTTAATGCTCAATTTTAATTTTAAATAAGATCCAACACTTGTTTATAAAATATAGCCATGGCATCCATACAATCAAGATCTAAAATTTGGATCAAAATCACATTAAGAGTATTTTCATGTTTGAGATGGAAGACAGGAGATAAGACAATTATTATACAATGTTGAGCATTGTTTCATAGTGTGGACGTCTTGGTGAACAAGGTCTCCAATTATTTTGTGAGAGCTCCAGAGGTTACTTCCTCCACTAGATTTTTTTTTCTTTATTTTATCATGATGCGGGCTAAAGATAAATTTTACTGCGAAGGTTTTCATATGGCATTTTGTTTATGAGAAGTATGTGACCCTGAATACCAAAATTGTATCAAGAAAAAAATATTTATCAAAGATATGAAGTATTTGTAATTATAACTGGAACGGAAACGAGTATCCTCCGCAAAACTTTTAAGCGAAAGAGACAATGGTGGAAACGCGATAGCAGCGATCCCAAGGACAGTACTACTTAAGAATAACATAATTATTATGTAAGAATTTTTATATAATTTTTGTATAACCAACATCAGATTCAACGTCAAAAAACATACACGAACCAATTTTGAGAATTAAAACAAAAATTTTGATATATATTTTCTCTCGAATCCTTTATTGTTCCCCTTTTATATACGAGAAAATAATTTTTTTTAAGTAAAGCAATTTTTTATGCCAAAATTGAGATCTTTCGAATTGGGAACATTATGCTTAACATTTACTATGAAAAACGTTTTAAAAAGTCTTTATTATTTAACGTATTTAACCTTATTTAGTAGTTATTTTTAAAAATTTTGTGTCAAAAGTTATTTTGAAACTTCTGCGTCACTAAACTATAACGATTGCTAGAATATACATACATACATACATACACACATACATAGATAGCGCTACATCCCGTAGCCGGGACTGGGCCTCCTCCAAAAGCTTTTGCCAGCCACACGATCAGCTGCAGCAGCTCTCCAGTTTCGGACTCCCAGTAGAGCCCGTACGTCCGATGTCCCTGAATCCTCCCATCTTACATTTGGCCTGCCAATCTTTCTTTGTCCATGCATCTTTCTGGATAGCATCTTGTCCTATCTTGATAAAGAGTTGATCTCAGAACCGAGGTAGCCAAAGTTGATTACCTTTTCCAATATGGTCCAGCCACAAACATCCAGCAGAACGGTACTGTTAAGAAGGGTTGTGGGGAGTTGGATTGGAAGTGGAAGCCAAGATAAAAAGAAAAAAGACTAGAGCATCCCGCTGTCTTACGCCGCAGTTAGTATGAAAGTCTTCGGAGAAGTCACTTCCCACTTCGAGCCTGACATCGTCATTTTCACGAGACTTGTCAGTTTAATTGGGACGTTAATTTCCAACACGGCCTGATACAGCTCCGGCCGAGTTACATTTTCGTAGGCGGGTATAAAATCAACGAAGAGGTGATGGGTAACTGTCCTATACTCTTTGCATTTCTCTAGCATCAACCTCAGCGAGAACAGTTGGTCCAATGTGGACCTTCCGCGCCTAAATCCCGCTTGATATTTGCCTATCTCCCCCTCGGCATAAGGTCTCTCAAATAGAATTTTAGAGAGAACTTTATAAGCATATGAGAGTAGCACTATGCCTCGATTGGTCCTATCCGATTGGTCTCCTTTCTTGTGCTGTGGGTAGATAATTCCCTTTTTCCACTCCTCAGGTATCATCTCTTTCTCCCATATCTTCAAAATGAGGTTATGGAGATCCTTTCTTAGTTGCATTCCTCCATAGCGTATCGGCTCCGCTTGAATTCCATCCAATCCCGGATCCTTGTTGTTTTTCAGCCACAGACGGATCTACGGGAGGCTTTCGGGCTGAAGTCCCCTTCCTCAAAATAGTAATATATAACCATGTATTATGAAAAAAAATTTCTTTAAAGGTATTATTGTTTATTATTACATTTAATAGGACTTCAAGAATCACTTAAATACAATTTCATCTAGGTAGTTAGTTTCTCTCTTTCTTCTGAAGTAATTATTCCAATGTATACATAAAAAAAAAGTCTTTCAGGCTGAAGCCCTCCCCCTCCCCAAAATGAAATCCTGGATCCGTTAGTAGCTGTGTCCGCTTCTATGTCTTCATCATCCGGTGGTTCGGTATCGTTGAGAAGTCGTCCTCATCTCTGGCTATTTCTCCTTCAAAGTTCTCTCTTTGAAGCGCTCCGCTGAAGTGCCTTGCCTATCTATTCAGAATTTTCTCTCTCTCCGTCAATAAGTTCCCGTCCTCATTCTTGCACATAGTTACTATTGATTTTAAGGTATTCCGGTCCTCGTTCACTTTCTAAAAAAAGAGGCGAGTGTCACGAGATGTCCTGCAGTTTTCTAAGTTGTTCATCTTGTAGTTCCCCCATGCTCTCTTCTTTCTTCTGTGCAATCTCTTTTTTTCTCTTCTTTTATTTCGGTACGTCTCCTATGTTGAATGAATGAAATGAATGAAATGTATGCCGCTGGATAGCCTTCTTATACGACAGAAATATAACTAACAATAAACAGGACAAGTTCATAATTTAAACCCTAATTCTATCGTCGGAATCCATCAATCAATCTATTTAATCGAGGAATCCCTCACCAATATGCTTAGTTTAGGAACGACATGCAGGAAACCCATAGAAGTTTAACATTTCTGGAAGGTAATATATGGATATATATATGTAAAGGTAATATATATATATATATATATATATATATATATATATATATAACTTACGTCTGTTCGAACAAGAAAAGATAAAAAAAAGAAAGAAAAGGTCCGAAATAAAACACGTGATTGCTCAAATAAGACTGACTTTATTCTCTCCGTCATGCTATATATATAGCATTACGGTTTGTTTACAACTGTTGAATAGGATTAAATAATATATCAAGTTACATCTATCCATAACTCCCCCACCGCCAGTTTATGAACACTCCTCATAAACTAACGCAGGGTTACTGATATAATACATAACAAAACAAAACAACAAAACAAAATAATCTTCCTTGGCGTTCCCATACAGCAATAGTACCAAAACAAATAAAATTAACATTTCTTGCAATAAAAGAGCCACAAACTGAAATAAACCTTCTATAGCTTGTAGGAGACAGAAAAGAGGATATACCACTTATTTATGTTACTGACCCCGCCTCTATCGGGAATTTCAACTGTTCTATGTGAACGGTCCTCCGTTTCCTGGGATCGTTCAGACTCTGAATTGTACAAAGATTGTGTTCGCGAAGTATAATCACTTTGAATGGTCCTTCGTAGCGTGCCAGTTCTTTCCCCCTATTAGATCCGACCCTACGATAGACCGTCGTCCCTATCTTCAATTCCCCCATTCTGTCTTTGAGGTTCAAATTGACCTTCTCCACCCTTTTCCGTTTTTCCCTCTCTATTTTCCCTCTCGTTTTTTCCCACACTTTCTTTATCTCTGCTCTGTTACAAGTGATCCGTTGAGCTTGTGTTTCGTCCGTGAGTTTTTCCATCCAATCCCGTCGCCGTATATTTACTCCGAACAATACCTCGACCGGAGAAAACCCTGTAACGGAATGGATCGAATGATTATAGGCTGCTACTGCCCTTTTCATGGCTACATCCACTTCCAATCCCTGCTCCCCTTGATAAATACATAGGTGGTCGCTTAAAGTGCTGTGCAACCTTTCGATATTTCCTCTGCCCTTTGTATGTCCCGGAGTGTTAAAGTGCCAAACTATATCTAATCGTTTAGCCTCCTCAAGTACGGTACTGTTGTCGAACTCCCTCCCTCCGTCCGACGTTATGCGATCTGGCACTCCGTAGAACTGGGCCCACGTTTGTAGAGCCCCCACAACAGCCTCCGACAACTTATCTCGTACTCGATGTGTCATCGCTACCTTGCTAAAGAGGTCGATCATTGTAATCTACTTAAACCCCCTCCACGTGAATGTATCGATTTGCACATCTTTCAATGGCATATCTCCCGTAGGGGTTTCCTCCTGTAATCCTTGAGGTGGGCGTCTATCATACTTAGTGCGCGCGCACACTTCGCATCTCCCAATGATTTCTGAAATTGTCTTCCTCATGCCATCCCAGAAATATCTTCTGCGCAGTGCCTGAAACGTTTCTTGTTCTTCCCGATGGTTGGTCTTGCCCTGGTGATGTGCTAGTGTTACTTCCTTTTGCTGCTCCCTGTCCATTACCATCTCA